CCCCTCCCCCTCTCTCTCTCTCTCTCTTTCTTTCTTTCTTTCTTTCTTTCTTTCTTTCTTTCTTTCTTTCTTTCTTTCTTTCTTCTTTCTTTCTTTCTGGCAATAGAAGGGTATAAGAGAGAAATAAAATCATTCGACTTAGCTGCTTGTAATTGTGTAGAAAGAAAAATCTCTGTGTGCCAGTTGTCTTCTTTATCGGGTAGCACCTGGTGGGTGAGGATTTGGGACTGACTGGCCTAGTGTAGCTGGGCCACGAGGAAGATAGGGGCTCCACCTCTTGATGGGAAGAGCTGCAAAGTCACAAGGCAGAGGGGCATAGCCACTGGGTGGGAGCCATGTGTGAGCATCTAACCATCTTCCATTGTAGTGTTATAGGTAGTATGGGTGTTAGAAGTAGTATTTCGCAGATAGCTTCCTTAAACTTAAAGAGGTTAAGAAGTGGCCCAAACTTGGATGGTTAGAGAATAGCAGAGCAAGGTGAAGAGTACACACACACACTCACACACTCACACACACTCACACACACATACTCACACACACACACACACTCACACACCCACACTCACACGCGCGCACACCTACTCACAGTCTCCTACATAAAGCTCCTGTTAACGAAGGTAAATGCCAAGGAGAACACAATTTGGAACCCAGCCACCACTCATGAATGCTACTGCAGAGTTTTCCTAAGTTGACTCTTTTTATAGCAGAGTATTCCCCTACCTTTCTCCTTTAGCCTCCTTCCTCACATCTTCGCCTGCCAGTGCTAGGGATCTATCTCTGGAAAGTTGTAGACTTGGGCCAGAACTTGGCTTCAGAAATCTCTCTTCTCTCTCTCACTCTCACCCTGGACATGAATTAACACATATCATGTGCCTGGAAAATAGTGTTTAATTCCTGTTAAGCACTGTTCTTATCATTGTTACCATTATAATAGTATAATGTGGCTGTGTGTATCTATACAAGGACAAAGTTGGTAGAACAAAAAGCTTGTCTAGCACTGGTAGGTGTGGTTCAGTGGTTAGAGCATAGGCCCTCGCACTGAAAGGTCATGGGTTCAATTCCCAGACAAGGGCATATACCTGAGTTGCAGGTTCAACCCCAGCCCTGGTCAAGGCACATGCGGGAGGCAACCAATCCATATGTCTCTCTCACATTGATGTTTCTCTCTCTCTTTCTTCCCCTCCCTCCTCTCTTCCAATCTCTAAAAGTCAATAGAAAAAATATCCTCGGGTGAGAATTAACCACACATAAAAAAAGGAACTTGTCTATAGTATGAGTCAAGAAGTACTGTATCTAGACCAATAGTTCTCAAAATCTGAACCTCCAGACCCAGAACTTGTTAAAAATGCAAACTTTAGGCCCTGCCTTAGACATACTGAATCAGAAATGCTGGGTGCAGAGCTCAGCAACTTGTGTTGTAACAAGCCCTCAAAGTCACACTGATGCACTTTTAAATTTGAGAACCACTGATCTAGATAAATTTGGTCCTGACCCACTATATCTCCCCCATGGGCTTCTAATGCTTTAGTTTCCCACCATTGAGGGTACTATTGTGTTATTGGGTTATGAGAAGATGAGGAGGCTAGTGCTATAAAATCTAAATAATCAAATAGCAGAAATTAATTTATCTAATTACAACCTCCTGCAGTGTACATTCTTTAAGGAATGGGCCCAGGTAGAGTAAGTGGAGCCTATGAAGACAGGGAACTATTGCTAGACTGTAGGGTCTTCGTGTTAATTAGAAAAATGTGTTTCTAGGCACATAATTCCACCATGAATGCATAAGACTTGGTAGTGGAACATGAGCTAGATTTCAGCACCCATGCACACAGTCAACCAGAAACCCTTGTATACCACCTAAATGAAAATGTACCATGTCCTTGTGCACAGGCCTTGCTGCAGATCAGGCCAGGTGCAGGTGTCAGAATGTGTCCTGTGTAGACCAGCCATTCCCTATGGGCAAGGTGAGGCAGGCCAGGAAGTCCAGCTGTTGGAGCACGTGAGTGATGGATGCAGGAGGAAGAGTTAAATGTGGAGAAGTGGCCTCCAAAGAAGGGGAGGATGGGCCCTGGGCTTCACTTAGCTTGAAAACCTGACCAACCTTGCCCTGGCCAG